TACTTCCAACTGTCCAAACCACCAAAATTCTGGCAAATCGAAACCAAGATTTGTTCCTGACTCCTGAGACGGATTATAAACATTAAGGTGATAAAGTCTCCTCATCAGAGCAACCACCGTACTGCCGCTTTGAAGGAAATTCATGGAAAACTTGAGGCAGTGTCGGATTCACAGGAACTGGAAATCTATGGGCAGAACTAACTATTGTCCGTTCGTTTATCATACCAACTTCCTTGCAGACTCGATCGAGAATTGTTAGAAAGTCCCTCACCACCAAGAAGATTCTAAATGGGTGAGCCTCTTCCTTTGCCGAGTTTCCATGGAAATACTCCGTTATCTCCTTCACTAAAGACAGAGCAACACTTTCTTGGGCTTGAATCCTTATAATCTCTTCGTCTGCCATCTTCATGAACTTGTTCATTGACTCTGAAAATTTCTTCCTGCTTTCATCCAATTCCGTTGTTTCATTTAATCTGAGAACTTCATTGATTTCCCCAAGCCCTCTAGAAAGCTTGCAGACATCTCCGCTAAGGACTTCAGAATCCATGGCAGCAGCTTTCTTCACATTTGTCAGCTCTGAACAGAGACCAGAAACAACTTGCAAACCAAGCCTCCGACACTTAGCATCTTCACTTGAATTGGGGTTTGGAGGTTGGTTACTGCTAGAAAGACGAGCACCTTCTGTTCTTATAATTTCCTGTACAACAAAGTGCAAGAGTGTAGTTTTCCCATCTGCACCTTTGACATCAACGAGCTTTAGAAGTGTGTCAAGCTTGAAGGCATGGGCATCCCCACGGTTTGTTCCAACATTCATACGGTTCCCAGTCTTCAGCACAGCCTCAAGAAGCTTCAAAAACATCCTGCTGCTTCTCAATTCCTCACAAGCAGCCTGCAGAAGTAAAAAGCTCAAGAGACATGGCTAAAGAAAAGTTTTAATGGAATCTTGCGAGACAGTCTTTTGTTTAGCAAAATTTTCTCTTTACTTAATACTTAATAGAAGCCATTATTATTAAGCAATGCGAGACTGCATGACTTTTACGGTGAAAAAGGCATTGCTGACATGACACTCACATGCACTCCATTTTTTTAAATTATTTTTAGTGCTTAATTTAACCATACAAATTACCATAAAGATACAATCTCAAAGGGAAATGCTGATTATCCAACCTAGCACTCAACAAGAACAAATACACAATTATACATGCACAACATTTTTTGGAAATTCTAAGTTTCCAACATACAAGGAAAATTTCATGTTTACCATTTTTAACACAAGCCGAAGGAACACTCACCTCTAGCATAATGCAGCAAAAGCAACCAATAGAACAAAAAAATGGGAAGGGGGAGGAATAGAGGAAAAACATTTGAGAAAGAAGAAATGATGCAGCAGACTGAACTTACCTCTAGAGTTTCAAAAGACTTTTTGAGGTATTCAACTTCGGACTGAAAGTTGGCTATGTAAAGCATTGCGTCCACCCTTTTAAATGCAAAAGGCACATCAAGAACTGCTTTCAAAAATTTCTCAGCAGGGCCAAGTTTGACAGGTGAATCATCTCTGTACTCCTTCAATTTTCGCTCTTCTTCTTTTGTTGGAGCCATTTTCAATAGGCTTTCAAGAAGTTCAGTTCCAAGAGTATCGGCATTACCTGTTTCCAACCAAAGAAGAAATATTTTCAGTTGCAAGCTCCAATTGTAGGATAGAGAAAGCCATACTTTATCAATGGATAATTGTATGACATGTGCATCAAAGCACCACTAATTTCACCAAAGGTAGAACTTAAAAAGCTATTTGGTTTTCTAAACATCACAAAACACATCAAACCAAAAGTTTCCAAGTATGCATCTAAATATTTGTCACAGAAAAGCAAAACTTGAATAAAAAACACAAACAAACCAATCATTGATAGAATTAAAACAAAATGGTTGTGCTGGTCAATCCGAATGGCAACGTTACCTTCTAACAGGGCTTCACACACTTCCTCCACTGTCACGTTAAGTGCCCTTAGCAAGATTGCAATGTTCTGTGCTTTTTTGGTATCAAGCACCCTGTTCTCCTGGTTTGGTGATGGAAGAATGGAGCGTGGAGTTGCTTGCTTAGGTTTCGGGTTCGGGGTGTTCACAACAAAAAGTGTTTCAATCATCTCCTCATTCAACCTGCAAAAGTTCATTCCATAAGCTTATACGAAGGAACTCGATGCATCAAGAGCTTGAGACTTGATCTAGACAAGAACAATGGAATATTTAGAGATTAGTATCTTACTTGAACGAGCTTGATCTGAGGTGATCCCACACCATTTCACGATCAGAGCTGGCTCGCACTTTATCCCAGTGTAATGTCTTCAACTTCGGCTTTGGAGTCTCCTCAACCTGCTCCACAGGCTCAGAACTTTCTGGCAAGCCTAGTGGAGATATTATTATTGAGTTTGGCATCATAAAAGGCCTTGAGGGGGGCATAAGAGGAGGTGGCTTTGATATCTGTTGAACAGTAGGCCCTGATGGAACTGAATTTTCAAAGGGCTTTTGTGACTGCAATGGCCGTGGTGGTGGTGGTGGTGGTGGAGGTGGAGGAGGAGGTGGTGGTAGTGGCGGCGGCAGAGCTGTGATGGGTGTCTCTAAACCACTGCTGGTTCTCACAAGTGAGTTCAATTTCCCATCAGATACATTGGATATTCTTGGCGATGCCTCGGCACTTCTATCAGATTCTCTGCCCGGTGATGAAGAAGCTGAAGATGACAAGGGAGACCGCCTAGTACAGTCTGAAACTCTGGGAGATGCAGACCGGCTTTTCTCTAAAGCTCTATCTGGAGAAGAAGCAGCAAAGGATAGTGAAGGAGACAGTTCTGCTCCCGCGGGAGCTATGGAAATCTTCGGAGATGCATCTAAACCTCTCTCCGATGTCGTAGAAGCTGAAGATAGTGAAGGAGAGAGTGCTACTCGAGTGGGAACAATGGAAATCTTTGGAGATGCATCAAACCCTCTCCCCAGTGATGAAGAAGCTGAAGATAGTGAAGGAGATTGCAGATTCTGAACCAAATCATTAAACATCATCAGTGGTTCATCCAAATTCTTGGTCATAGCTCTATCTGGTGATGTAGAAGCCAAAGACAGAGGCGGAGACATCGCATTTCGGTGAAGATCATTAGATTTTTCCGGTGATGCATCATGGTTCTCTGCTACACCTCTGCCCGGGGAACTAGCAGCAGAAGATAACGAAGGAGTCCTTACATTTCGATCCAAATCATTAAACATTCTCGGAGCTGCATCTGGGTTCTCCGCCACACCACTGTCCGGCGAAGTAGAAGCCGATGATAGTGAAGGAGACTGCACATTTCGATCCAAAACAACAGGCACTCGTGGAGATGCATCAGGGTTATTTAACTGATTTCTACCGGGAGAAGTGGCAACCGGAGATAGTGAAGGAGAACGCACGTTTTGCTCGACTGGGTTCTTCATAAACCCTAGATATTCCGGTGAGGTAGAAGCCATTGACAGCGGCGACCGCACATTTCTCTCTGATGCATTCGAAATTCTCGGTGATAAACCCGATGATACTCCAAACTGTTGCTCTGGCTGTGGTGACGCTTGAACTCCCACGGTCTCCTGCGATATGGGCTCTGATCTTCGTGGGCTCAAACTAACCGGCGGAGAAATACTAATTGACTGAGACCTCGCCGGTGATCCCGAACTCGAGGATGAACATGAACAAGTACTAGAACCACTGCTCCTCACTTCAAACTCCTCAGCCGCAATCCCCCCAAATACTCTCCTGGACCCCGATCCAGTTCCGCTCAGCGACCCTCTTGGCGAGTAAAACTCCTCCTCCTCCTCCGTAACTGAACCCACTTCTCCGAAGTTCCGCGACGTGGCCTGCCTAGACAGTGGCGGTAGTGGCTGGAGCTCCGGTGAGTCCATTCTGCGCGGATCCAACCTGCCATTACCCCGCGAATTGGAGTTCTCATCAATCCCCCGCGAATTTACCACAGTACCCAGATAAAGAAACTCCGAACTGGGAGTAGAACCTGTCCTCAGCTTCCTCGCTTCAGCATTGCGATTGTTATGATTATTGTTATTACTAGTAGAATGCAACCTATTGCTATTCTCGGAGGTAAAGGTCTTACTATCGTCCGTGGAATTCCGATTCTGCCTACGACGGCGGCAGTAGAGAAACAGAAGAACTCCGGCGACAACAGCGGCGGAAATGACGGCGGACAGTGCAACAATGAGGAGCTTCCGAGAATTAGATTTGGGAGTAGGGCTGTGGGGGAGGATGAGTGAGGAGATATTAGCAGGGAAGGAAGCGAAAGTGGCAGAAGGGGGAGGCGGGGGAGAAGCAGGATAGGAAGGGAAAAATGGTGAATCATTAGGGGTAGCAGTGGATGAGGAGAAGGGGAACTTGGGGTTGGGAGGAACTGGAGGGGAAGGAGACGGCGGTTTAGATGGTGGAATGGTGTTTAGAGGGAAGAAGGGCTGGTGGAGGATCCGACGGCGTGAAGCGGAGGAGAAAGGGAGGAGTCCAGAGGATAAGAATAACAAGATGAAGAAGAAGACGGAGAAAGAAAAGGGCATTGTGGATTCGCCGGAGAAGAAGAAGAAGGGGAGGATGGAGTGGAGTAAATGGCGTGAGGAGTGATTTGTGGGGACTTTTTTTTTTTTTTTTGCCGTTTGGAGAGAGAGAAAAAGAAAGAAAATTGCAGGGATTGAGAAAAAGAAAAGGTGGTTGACGGTGCGATTGCTGAGAGTGGTGCATCCAGCTAAGATTCGGCTGGTGTTGGACAGTGAGAACTGGGCTCAGGCGGGCTGGTGTGAACGGTTGGGCTAAATTGTAAGGAGGAGGAATAGATCAGCTTAGGTGGGTCCAGTTTTACGAATCACCAAAAAAATAAAAATAAAAAATAATATTTAT